AGGCCGCACCTTACACGTGTGATCCTGATCACCCTCCGTGGGTGACTACAGCCATTTCCCAGATGCCCCATGAGGCATCAGAGAAGGGAAAGGATTTGCCCCTCAGACTCTAGGTGCCTCCAGGTGCGATGCAAGGAGCAAACTTAGACTCCAGTTTGAATCCTAGGGAGGGAGGCCACTCAGTTCCCTTCTCTGAACCTCTTTCCTCATCTAGAGAATGGGAAACATGCTCACTGCCTCTCAGGTGGTTGGGAGAATGAAATGGGCTCATTCTGTCATTCAACAAACATGTGTGGACAGTCTCTGTGCCAGCCCCTACTCTAGTTTCTAGGGACACTGCAGTTGAACAAGATGGGCAAAGGTCTTGCTCCCAAGGGGCCAGATTCTTCTGGATAATGCCTGTCAGGTGCTCTGCAGGGGCTGACAGTAAGTGCTCCATACAACTTACGGGGATAAAGACCCAGGATTGAATGGGATGGTGTGCAGAACGGGCTTGGCCTGGAAGAGCAGCACGCATCAGCCCACTAGTTGTCTGCCCTGTCAGTGTGGCACCGCCCCCCGGCCCAGGAGAACACCAGGTCCTTGGGCACCGGGCAGTCACTGGTCTAAGCTGCCTGCCCAAAGCCAGCAGAACTCTCTGCCCCAGGCAGGGACTGTGGAGGCAGCTCAAGGAGGCTTGGGTCTCATCAGGAGGGCCCTCCCCTGCTGCACTGTCCCCCTCCGCCACATAGCCTCGGCTCAGCCCCACCCACTCCCTGACATTGTCCCTGGGCCAGCCCTGAGCCTTCTCTGGAGGCTCTCCCAGCTGTCCTGATGTCCCCTCTGGCTTCTGCAGACGCTCCCCATTTCCACCCTGGAGGCCTCGTCTGGGCACCAGCCCCTCCCCTCCAGAGGCGTCCCCAGACATCACTCCTGTGCTATTCTCTTTTCCTGACAACTGTGGCATCAAATGTCAACCAGGCTCTGCTCGGCACCAGAAGGTGGGGGCAGGGGGCTGGTTCTTGATAATAACTGTGTGGTTTAGGGGAGGGTCCTCCTCAGCCCCCCGCGAGGGGCTAGGAATGGCTGGCCCTGGGCTGGCTCTGCTCCCAGATCACTGTGCCGCCTCGAGCAAACCTCTTCCTCCTCAGACCTTGGATCGTCTGAGCCACGAAGGGGAGGCAGCCTTCTCTGCCTTCCCCTGGTGGTGTGAGAATGAGGGGACAGAGGCAATACCCTTTGGGGGCTCGGAGAATGCTGGGCCAGTGGCAGTGGACTTCTCCCGAGAGCCACCTCCCTTCTAGGTGAGCTGTGGAAGAGGTCCTGGGGGGTGCAGAGTAGCTACGCCCATCAGACCTCAGAGAAGCCCGTCTTCCTGTCCTCACTTGCCCTGAGTGAGCGGGGACAGCCGGCACTAAGCACTGGGGAAGCGGGCTCTGGCGGGCCCTGACAGCTCAGCAGTGGCAGTGGCCGCTGTGGCAGAGGCTATTCTGAGAGCTGGGAAGGGCTGGGGAGTGGGGACTGGAGGAGGGGAGCAGCCCAGGAGAAGACAGTCCTGTGGGGGTGAGGCGTGTGTCCCCGCAGCCGTGTCCATGTTCATAGCAGGGAGGACTGTGTAATGTGCCCTGGCCACGGGGAGGGGGTGGAGCATTGAGGTCATGAGGCACGCACCGGGGTTGCTTGGGTGTCTGTGCACAAGTTTTGGGGTCCAAGTACGAGTTGAACGGGTAGAAGATGCATCTGGAAGTGTAAGAGCAAGCGAGTGGGCATGCATTGGAATGTGAGCGTGTTCGAGTGCATGGAAAGGTGTGAGCAGAAGCAAACGATCCCGGGTGTGGAAGGGGGAAGAGCGCAAGGGTAAGCAAGTGGGGGCTTGTCTGTGAGCAGGAACGAATGTGGGAGTGGTAAGAAGGGTGTATGGGAGAGCAAGCGTGGGTGAAGGGAGTGGAGTGTGAGAGGCCTGGGGCCGAGGGAACCCTCAGGAGGGTTTGCGGACACAAGTGAAGGGACGTATGCAGGTGTGTGTGTGAGTGAGCCAGTGTGCACCAGCGGATGCGAGTGTGTGCGTGCTGAGAGCAGGAGGACAGTGTGAATTGGGACAAGTAGGAAGGGAAGATGTGTAGGGGCACCAGCAATAAAAACAGCTAGCATTTATTGAGCACTTGCTCTGAGCCCGATGCTGACATTTATGATCTTATAGAATTCTTTACATACCCCACGAAGTCCGTGCTGTGATGACACTCATTTATAGATCAGGAAATAGTGGCTTTGAGCAGTTAAGTAACTTGCCCCTACTCTTAATCACTACGTGATACTGCCTCATAATGAATGTGTGAGCAGGGGCCAAGTTGTGAGTAAAGAATGAGTGTCTGTATTTGTGGTAAGTGTGAGTTTGAGCGTGTGTGGGAGGCTGAGTGTGCCCGATGTGGGTCCCAGAGGGGAGTGCCGGCAGCAGCTGTGGACACCGGGTGGGGCAGGGGCCCGAGCAGAGCCTGAGTCAGCCTCCACGGCTTCTCTGCCAATCTGACTTCCCAGCCCCGCAGTGGCAGCCTGCACCACGGCCCCCAGCTAAGGGATCCTCCCAGCTCTGGTATGGCCCCCAGCAGGCCCCTGGCTCACACGGCGGGCTGGGCCAAGGCTGGAGACTGGCAAGAGGCCTGCATGGCCTCCAGGGTACCTGGGGGGCTGCCCGCAGTGTGCGCAACCCAGGCAGGCAGGGCATATGAGAAGTGTGGGAGGGGGTCCAGCAGTGATTTCAGGCCCCTTGTGACTCTAAACAGAACCACCTGGAGGGTGTGTGTATGTATGCAGAACGGGGGCAGCCAATGTTTCCCATGCCCACCCCTGCCTTCGGGATGTGACTCAGGCAGATGCCATGCCAGGCATTTGCAAGCTGGGCCTCCTTCCACCCGGGGGGCGGGTGAGGAGGGGCCCCTCCAGCCCTGCCCCCACCGTCACCCTTGGACCTACTCCTCAGGACTTAAGCTGGAAGGAAGGAATTTTTGAGAGCTGGCTGTCTCCTGTGGCGGGATCTGGTCCCCGACTACCCAGAGAAAAAGGAAAGCTGCAGTCTCCAGCCTGGTCTCCAACCTCTCCAGATGCAGTACCACCCGGGCTGGAGAGCTTGGGCTTCTGGTCCTGGCCAGTTACCTCCCCACTCCAGGCTTCTGTGTCCTGACTGGCAAAAGAGAAATAATATACTAAAGGGACCCAAGGTGTGGCTGGTAGAACAGCAAGTGCGGGGGTCAAGCAAGTAACGGAGATAGTGGTGGGAGCTGGGGCTAGAGAAGGTGTCAGGACGAACTGACATTGTGCTGAGCTTTGAGGAATGGGAGAATCTCCGGTGAGGGCCAGGGGAAGGGAAAAGGGTGTTCCAGGCAGAAGGGCAAAGGTTGGCAGGTGGAGTGGGGGCTGGAGACCTAGCCCAGGACTCTGTGGGATGAGGTCATGGACAGGCTAGCTTCTCAGGCAGCCTCTCCTTTCTGAGGCCATATGGTGATCGCATCAACATCTGACTCCTCCACTAGCCTGTGCAGCAGGGACCTCATCTGTCTCTGTCATCTGCCACTCTTGTTGGAGTGGCCCGGATGGTGCCTCATGCATTCAAGGTGCTCAATAAATATCTGTTAAATAAATGAGAAGCTTCTCCCCAAACGGGATGAACTTTGGGGCAAGAGCTTGTTCAACAGCCTCTGCAAGAGCCTCCCAGAGGCTATAAAACAGTGGTTTGCCAAGTGTGGTCCCAGGTGCATCACCTGGGAACTTGTTAGAAATGCAGTCTTGAGCCCCAACCCAGACTTACTGGGCTGGGGCCCAGCAACGTTTGAATAAGCTCTCCAGGTTGATTCTGTTACACGTTAAACTTTGAGAACCGAGGCTCTAAAACTATGTCCACAGGTCCCCTAAAAGCCCATGAAGAACCCATATGCAGATGGAGAAGCTACAACTGTGGCCAAGTGTGGCCCCAAACTCAAATATTCTTGATCCCTTCCCTTTCCCCAGCCCAGTCCAGGGCACAAAGGAGAGCTGGATCATCCGCCCTTATCAGGTTTGGAAGATTGGAAACCTGGGGTCTAGGATCAGGGGGCGGGGCACTCCCCCCTCGGGAGCAGAAGGCGGGGCCAAGTGCTCTGAGCCCCGCCCCTTCCCCGTTGCCCCGGGAAACCCCGGGTTGTAACAATAACCTGCTGACGCGCTTCTGGGAGGGATCCTGCCGAGCTCGTGGGCGGGACAGCTCGGCTTGCGGACCAATGAGAGAGCTCGGGCCCCGCCCCCGCACCCCCTCCCCCAGCGCCGAGCAGGGGGCGGGGTCGCTCCCGCCTCTCCTCCCCTGCTCCGTAGGCGGCGCTGTTGCGTGCGGGGGCTGCGGCGGGGTCGCCCCGAGCCGGGAGCTCCGCGCCCCAACCCCCAGCCCGCGGGCGGGGCACCCGGGCAGGCGGAGGATTCCGTGGCCGCGGGCGGGCACGCCCCGCCCTCTCCCGCGCCGGGCCCGCCCCCTCCCCTTCCCCCGCCCATCCCGAGGTGCAGCCGGAGCTGAGCGCGGCAGGCGCGGGAGCTGGCGCTGGAGCCGGAGCGGCGGCGGCGGCGGCATTCACGGGGCGGCGGCGGCGGCGGCGGCGGCGCGGGCTCCGGCACGGGCTCCGGCATGGTGCAGTCCGGCCTCGTCCCGGGAGAGCGGGGCCCGCGCGCGGGGCCGGCGCCGGGGGAGCGGCGGCAGCGACGGTGGCGGTGGTGGCTGCAGGCGCAAGCAGGCGGCAGGTGCTAGAAGCGGAGCTAGGCGAGGTGTGTGCCCGCTGGGCTCCGGGGCCGCCGCTCCCTCGTTGCCCCCATCTTTCCCTCCCTTCGGGATTCCCAGCGCGTCCAGCCCCCTGTCTCCGCGTCCCGGCCCATGGCGCCCCGCGGTTGAGCCGGCGCCGCCAGGGACCCCTCCCGCGGGCCTCCCCAGGGCGCGCAGATCCCGGAGCCGCCCGCCCACCCTCCGCGGAGTCTCCCTCCCCTCCTCGCCCGAGCCGGGCGGGACCATGGCTGCGAAGCTGCGAGCGCATCAGGTGGACGTGGACCCGGACTTCGCGCCGCAGAGCCGGCCGCGCTCGTGTACCTGGCCCCTGCCGCAGCCCGACTTGGCCGGCGACGAGGACGGAGCGCTGGGTTCAGGGGTGGCAGAGGGCGCCGAGGACTGCGGGCCGGAGCGCCGGACGACGGCCCCGGCGATGGCCCCAGCGCCGCCGCTGGGCGCGGAGGTCGGACCGCTGCGGAAAGCGAAGAGCTCCCGGCGAAACGCGTGGGGGAACCTGTCCTACGCCGACCTCATCACCAAAGCCATCGAGAGCGCCCCGGACAAGCGACTCACGCTCTCGCAGATCTACGACTGGATGGTCCGTTACGTGCCCTACTTCAAGGATAAAGGCGACAGCAACAGCTCGGCCGGCTGGAAGGTGGGAGCGTCCGGCTGGGGAGGGGAGCTGGGGTCGCCGGCTAGGGCTTCCAGGGGCTGCTAGGTGCGTCCGGGTTCCCGGGGAGCCGTCGGGAGGGAGGCCCTGGGGCACCCCTAGGGGTCACGGAGTGTGTGCCCGCGGAGTGGGGCCGGCCGGCAGACAGGCGGGGGCGTGCTGGGAGCAGCTGTGTGCGTGCTCTGGATGCAGGGTGGGAGGTCTGGTGAGGTGACAAGGGACTGCCACTTTGAGGCACCCCCGAGGGACACCCCCACCCTGTCCATGGCGGCATAGCAGAGGAACCCACTCCCAGGCCTCGGATATTAAGGGGCCCCCTCGTAGCCCCGGCGAGTTTGCTTTGTGTGTTACTCTTGTTTTACCTTCTCCACCGGGCACCCTCCTTAAAGAGCTGAAATAATGGCCTGGGGCCAGCGCCTGCTTTCTCCCCACATCTTTCCCACTACTCTCTCTGGAGCTGGCCCCAGGGTAAGGACTGCGACCCTGAGCTCACAGTTCTTCCTCTGGTGCCAAGAGTTCACCCTAGGGCACCAGCCAGCCTGGGGTGGGGAACTGGTCAGGTGACCTGCAATCTGAGTTCTCCATGGGGCAGCTGCTGTCCCCCCTTGCCTGGATCAGCATGGTGGGCTGGTGATGACCTCTGCTGGTGTGAGGGCAGGGTATTGAGGGCTGGGGAATCTCTCCCTTCCCACCCTAGGCTGTCTGGCTTCCACTTCCCTGGCTTTCAGAGCCCAGATGCATTTGAGGGTGAAGGGAGGGGCAGGGGCACCCTAGGGAGGCCTCAGTGCCATCCAGTGGAACGGGGGGAGCCATCTTGGGAGAGGACAAGGGCTTGACTGGATTGTGGCCTCCAGACCCTCCTCTGGCCATCTTGTCGGGGAATGGGCATAGTCGATGCCTTTGCAGGAGGAGGAGGTTGGGGGGTGGGGGCTGTGCCTAGGGCCTGTGAGCTCTTAGGCTTCCTATGGGTGAGGGGTCTCTGCAAGGGAGGTATGCCTAGATGGAGGGAGGGAGCCATGCCTGGTAGTGGCTGCAGACAGGGTCAGAGGAAGGAGGTGTGCCAGAGGAGGAGGGGAGGCTGATGGACAGGAGCAACTCTGGTTGCCCAGTGGCTGCATTGTAGGGGCCACAGTGCTCTGACCTGGGGCCCTTGGCTCTCAGGCTTCATGCTGGCATCATGTCTGTCTCTCTCTGGCCACTATGGGGTGGAGGCACGGGTTGGAGGAGCACACATGAGTCTCCAGTCTCCTTGGGCTCAGCCCCCACGAGAACACTTACTCCTCCTAAGTGGGTACTGCCCTTGGGATCTGCTCCCACCTCCCTCCCTGTCCCCATGCACTGTCCCACCTTTCACTTCTCCCTGTAGATATATTTCTTGTCCTCAAGAGCAGAGTTCAGATGCCTCTTCCAGGAAGCCTCCCCTGACCCTTTTTAGCTAGCTAAGGGCTCCCTCTTCCCTGGCCCTCTCCCTGACTGTCATAGGGCTCAGTCTTTTGTATCCTCTTTCATTTCCCCTCCCCACCCACCCATTAGAAGACAGTGGCGGCGGCAGAGCAATCTCTGTGCCCACGGCACCCAGCATAGAGCCTGGCACTGAGGAGCCAGTGGCATATGTCTGGTGAGAGTGTGAAGGAACGGGTGGCTGGTGCAGCTGATGCTGAGGCTGAGGAGGGTACTGTGGGCCAGAGTAAGCCAGGAGGGCTTCCTGCAGGAGGTGGAGCCCCACTTGAGCTTGAGGGATCAGGAATGGTGGGGGCAGAGGGCAAGAGGAGACGTGAGACCGGAAGCCGAGGGAGACCTGCAGTTCCTGAGGGTGTCAGGGCCAAGCCAAGGTGTCCAGGGGCTGCTAGGTGCTAGGTGTCAGCCACCTTCAGGCATCTGTGCCAGGTGTCTCTTTAACACTCTCAGGAGTCCCTGAGGTAGGTTTCACTGCCACCGTTTACAGAGCTGGGCACTGAGGTGCAGAGTGGAGGCGTGAACTGCCCAAGGTCACACAGTCGGTAGATGGGAGAACTGGACTCCAATCCAGGTGTGTCTCCCTCCAAGCACCCCCCCTGCCACCGCCTGAGCCTCCGGAATAGTGTCCTGCTGGCACTGGGTGTGGGAGGCGGGCACAGACAGCTTTTGAACAGGGGCAGGTCTAAATCCTAGAATGTGACTGGGAATGTGCTTGGAGATAATTTAGTCCCTGGACTTCATTTCTTGGACGGTGAGCCTGAGGCCCCGGAAGGGGATGCAACTCCTCAGGTTGTTGGTGAGTGGCAGGTGCTGGCCGGTGACCCAGGTCTCCTGCCCGCCCCCTGGAAGTGGTGTCCACTGCACCATGCTGCCGGGGACACACTGGTTCTCCCTGCACCTGGCTCAGGGAGGAAGGCGCGCTGGCAGGCTGGTCCTGGGCTGGGGCATGGGAGAGGGAGCCTGAGGCTTGGGCTCCTGACCCAGGGCCCTGGCAGAGACCACCCAGGCACTGGAGGAGGGCTGTTCAGAGGGGCCTCTGGCCTTTCCCATCTGGCTCGGTCAGTGGCTGTCCTCATTCTACCCCACCCCCCATCTTTTTACCCCTCTCACCCCTGCCCCTGCCCCCATTCCCATTCAGCGCCTCCAGGGAGCAGGTGGAGAGACCATCCCCAACTCCCAGCCAGCCTGTGTGTTAGCGGAGGCTGTGGGACACCTCAGGTGCCAGGGCTGGGGCCCATTGTTCCTCTTTCCCCCTCCCCCACCACATAAGTGTGGCACCTGAATCCCTGGGGTATACCAAACCCTGTGTTAGATGGAGGGTGGGGGACCAAAGGAAAGGCATCAGGCCTGCCTTCAGGATGCATCAGGGCTCCACACCCAGGCAGGAAGGGCCAGAGGTGGGGGGCAGGGGTTCAGGGAAGGCGGGTTAGACCCCCTGGGAGCCCAGGCAAACCCACACAGAGAAGATGGCACTTGATCTGGGCTGTCTTCTTTGGGGGGTAGAATTTGGGAGAAAGTCTCTCAAGGGATGTTGACTGCAGATGCAAAGGCAAGGAGGTAGAACTGTAGGAGAGGAGAGGGTTGGGCGGGCCAGGCTGGAGCCAGTGGCTCCTAGGGATGGCAGGGAGGTGGCATGGGAAAGGCAGAGTGGGCCAGATCAGGAAGGGCCCACGTGCTTGGCTTTTGCCCTGTGGTCCCACCTGTGATGGGGGGAGGTAGTCAAAGGTGCTGCGGATGGGAACAGGAGGACAGATCAGCAGCAGGTGCAGGACCCCCAACAGGCTGAAGCCTGCAGAGAGGCTGGCCTTGGTGCTGGAAACTCCACCAAAGAGGCTGGTAGTGTTTCTCTCAGGACAGAGGGTCTCCAGGCCCTGGATGAGGGCTTGGACAGGAGGTTCCCCTCCCTCTTCAGTGTCCTAAAAGTGTGGATGTCAGACAGCCAGGTAGAGCCTCCCACTTCCTCCCGGATGCTCCAGCCCCACCTTCCCTAGCACAGGACTCCTCCAGGAAGGCTTCCAGACTGCTCTGGGTCCTGGGTGCTCCTTCCACTCAGCGCCCCTGGAGTTGTTCAGCCTGCTTTTGTGTTTCCTGGCTGCCAGCTCCCCTGGGAGCTCCCAGGCCAGGCCTGGGCACCTCCCATTCCTGTCCCCAGGCTTGATGGGGGAGGAGCACAGTGGATGGGGACTTCCCTTCTCCCTCAGGGCCTGGAGCGGCCCTGCGGTTGGGGGATGGGATCAGGAGGGGTGGTGCTACCCCCATCCGGCCCCTGCTGGCCAGCAGGTCTTAGGTGGGGTGGAAGGAGGGACTGATCCAGAGGCCAAGAGGAGGGTCCTGTTACAGCCAGGCTGAGCAGTGGCTGTGAGTGCAGAGGGCTCCCCCTTCTTTCCCCCCTCCAGCTTGCTCCAGCAGGGCTCCCTCCTCCTTCTTTGTCCTCCGGGGATCCCCAGCCCCAAGGGCTGGTGGGGGTGCGGGAGGAGGCGGTGTGAGCCCCGGTTGGGGGGTGTCCTCACCCCCCGTCGTGCACGAGCGGGGGGCTGGCAGCTGCCCGCCTCCTGGGCACGAGCCCGCGCCAGCCGCTCCTGGCACAGTTGCTGGCACGCCCGGCAGACTCCCACGGCCACCTGCTCACACCCACCCACGAGCGCTGGCGCTGCGGGCCCTTCCGGCTTCCCGGGCCTCCCGGCGCCCCTCCCCCGCCGCCCTGCTCCAGAGCCCCCCCCCCGCCCCCCACATACGCAGGCCCCCTCGCTCCCGCCAGCCAGCCCCAGGCCCGGCCCCCTCCCTGCGCAACTTGAGGAGCTCCCGAGTCTGGGTGCTCCTGGGAGGCCCCTGGGGTAGCTGCGGGGAGAAGGAGGGATGGGGAGGCAGGCAGACAGACAGACGGACAGACAGGGTGAGGGCCCCGCCTGCCACCTGGCGCCGCTCCAGCGGGACGATGGCGGGCAGCGCCGTGCCAGGCGGTAATTGCAGACAGACTAATTTAAAGAGATGAGACGGTTATTTTTAACTCATGTTAAGGTAATGAACGGCGCGGGGGGTTTGCGGGTTCGAAAGTTCAGCGCCCCCCAACCCCCACTTTCTGTGGGTTGGGGCCCCCCCTCTCTGCACACCCAGAGGACTCCAGCTTCAGGACTGACTGGAGTTGGGGGCCTGTGCCAGGGACCAGGAGGGCTGATAGGGCCTGGAAAGAGGCGCCCCCTAGCCCGGTGCAGATCCGTTTGCATCCTGGCCACTTTGTTTCCAGGGAGTGTATTAACAGCCCAGTTTCCGGGGTGGAGAAGTGACTTGCTCTGGGGTCACATCCTTAGAAAGTGTCTGTCCGGGGAATTGAACCCCTTTCTGACCCCAAAACTCAAACTTTTTCTGTGCCGTTGGGGCTGGAGAAGAGGGCTTGTGTTTGGGTTTTGAAAGGGCGCAGTCTTGTTCCTTGCAATCCAGGGTCTTGTCTTCGAGTGGCAGCTGGTGGTGGCCCCCATACAGGGTCTTGGGGGCTGTGGAAGTCCCTCTGTCTGGGTCTTGTGAGGAGT